GTTCGATTCCGGTGAAAAGGTGCTAAGCTTTTGTGCGTCATATGACGAGCGAGGTATCATCGTCACAATAAAATTCAAGCTAACGAGTCAAGAAACACTTTCACTCGTTAGCTTGACTTTTTGTTGTGACGGTGCTACCTTGCTCTGATGATGTTTCTTCGAATGACGGATGAAAGCTTATCACCTTCTCACTGGAATCTAACGAGATTGCCTCGGAAACAGCGTCAGCATGAATGTTTCAGTAAAGTCAATCGACAGCTGGTCAAGAGGAATCCGCCGTTGTCTTCGGGTGGAACCAACCTTCGAATCTCTTTACCGCACAATTTCACTCGAAATGGAAGTAAGCTCAACAATTATGAAACAAGTTGTCCACATATTCTTTTTTTGTGGCAGCAATTGTCCTTCTCTGAGCCAGGACATAGCATTCCCTAACGCTTATATACGTTATTTTCTCTTGGTTTATGAGTTGACGTAAAGAAACCTGCCAAATATCTTCAAGAAAGATGATATTTTTAGCTTTCGTCCGATGAAAGCAGACTACTTTCACCCTCCAAACAAGTAGTAGCGAAGGTACCGCATGTTGAACACATGCCTTGTCTCCAAGGTGACTCTTAAAACGGTGTGAAACGTGCACACGAGATGCGATTGCCTCAGAAACAGGCGATAACACATGCCGGCCAAATTAGGGCTCTTCTGGCGCCGTGTTGTCGAGGTTAACGCAGCGCAGTCTTACCCAAATCGCCGGGGTGATTTGTGTCACCGTGGAAGATGGTCAAGACAAAGGTGGCCACGGTGGCCAGGGTGAAGATGAGAACGAGGTATGAAACGTAGAAAGCACTGCCCATGCCGCCGGTGAGCGAGATGAGGCAAGTAGCGCATGCAATCACTCCGAGGCAGACCTCAAGGGAAAGGTTAGTCGTCAGTTTGGTGATGATGGCGCAGCCTCCTGCAGCAAAAGGTGTTAACAAAATAGCCGAATAGTGAAAAAAGGAAATGTAATTAAAGTCATTTTGCACAGACTGACTTTTGTAAAGACCAAGAAGTAGTCAAATTGTGTTGTGATTTCTTATAATATCTTTTTTTTTCTTCTTTTATTACTATTACTAATAGGCTTACGGGAGATGTCATTTTTGGTATGCAGTTATGCAACAAACAAAGTAGGGAAATATGCATTTACCGTAATTTCTGCAGCTTAATTCTACCTCATCCGTTCAAATTCACATAAAATTACTTTCCCAAAAAAGTATAATATTAATCCTTTAAATTAGATGAGATTTTCCTCTTATTCCGTCGCGATGGTAACTGTTCAATCCGGCCAATCGCCTAGCCTCCACGCGCTATCACATTATCTCCCAGCGCGGCAACTGGTACCATCCTCGCCTCGACTCACCCAGCATCAGCATGATCAGCACAATCACAGTGTTGACCAGGGCAGACACGCAGTAGAGCAGATGGGCCAGCGGACCGAAACGGGCTCGGATCACCTGCAGATACGTAGTCGCCCCCGGGGCTCGGATGCGCATCTGCATGGCGAAGATCGAGAATATGATGATCTGGCAGGTGACTGCGACGGCGTAGTAGTAAGCCCCGGAGATGCCCAACTGAGAAGATTGGACAAAAAGATTAATGAATGCGCGAGACAGCAAGAAAAGAAGGTCAAAGGTCATATTTTGTGAAATCACTCTACTGGGTTGGAGAAAATGAGTCTGACATGAGCCTTGGAAACCCTCCTTTGCTGGAACTGAAGTCTGGACTTTGTCACTCAAGCATGTCAAGGAACTGGCTTTTTAGATTCAAGGTGCTCTACTTTCTGTGCTCTCAAATTGTGACAATAACTTTGTTGGCAAATGTCCCGCGACCGCGATGAATCAGTTGGGATATTTCGTCCATTTTGCCGTGAAATGGGCATTTTCGAAATTCATTAAAAGACAAAAGCAACATGACCTACCGAAAAACATAACATTTTTCCGAGGACGGGTGTGCAGGTTGGGCTGGCATGTGGATTGCGTGCGTGCAAAGCTCATGCGTCAAGTGGCAGGTCAAAGCAGGAGCAGACTTCTCCGGTTTTTTCCCCGTCAGAGAGATGGTGAAATTAAGTGGGGTAGATGTAAATAATAACTGGATTTCGAGAAATCTCCTGAAAAAACATTGTTGCGGGGACCTGGATTTTGTAGGAAAGTGCATGAAGAAGAGATTCGTGTGTCGATATCACCAAAGGAGGACGGAAGAATCGCGTTGATGCAGTCGACGAGAGATACTCCCTCGTTTCTGGTGAAAATGAGCTTACTTTTCGTCCATAATTCACTTTTGCAAAAGTCTCACGTTAATTAATACCGAATCAAGATGACTATTTCGCATCTATTTTACCTCTCATGTGGACTCATAAATAACAAAAATAAATGAAATTAACAAAATTATTTTTTAAAAATTAATATTTCATATTGGTCCTGCCGCTTTTGTTCAAGTGTGACTGCATGTGTGTTAATGTCTATACACAAAATCGGTGTGATACTCAACAATTAATGGCTCAAGAAAAAACCCTGACCGAGACTACGTAAGTCCGTAAACAAGCATGGTTGAGATAATGACATGTAAGCCTATAAGTGTGATAATTAGGCTACGAAATCACATGTCCTAACCTCCCAATTTATAGCCAATAAGGTTTAACTGACCAATGAAATCTCCTACTTCTAGTCTGGTTTCCGGACGACCGTAAGTATAGTTGGAAGCATTTTTCTTTTATAATCAGAATTTCGAGACTAAAATTAAATCAGTAATATGAGATTAATTAACTCTATTTTCTTTAAGGTGATTACAGGCTGAAATTTCAATTGACCCACAATCATATGAGTCGAGA